ATCCCAGAAACCCCAACAGAAAAGCCCTAGACCGTCCGGTCCAGAGGACCAGACCGTTCGGTCTAGGCGGAAAAACGCGATCAGATCACGTTCTTCGTCGTTTCGGTCCCGATTCAGATCCGATTTCAACCCCGTTTTTGCCTGTGAACTCAGAACAGAAGCCTCTTGCACACTATGCAAAAGAACATGAAATCTACCCTAGATCCATAATCAAATCATGCATAGCATCAAAGCAAACACAGATTCAAACAATTCAAATCCTATAACGTGTGTGATCGGGTTCTAACAAAATCATGCAGAGCAACCAGGCTCTGATACCACTGTTGGGTTTTCCTGGGATCTCATGAGCGAATCCTATTCCTAAGAGATCGGTTCTAGGGTTTGCGCAGCGGTATTTCGACAGTGGATGTTCGAAACACATGACTGGTGACATGAGTCGACTTTCTACTTTTGAAGAAAGCAACAAGGGTGACAATGTTATATTTGGTGATGGACGAAAAGGAAAGATCATTGGAAAAGGAACGCTGGACTCATCTGGACTGCCTACCCTCACTAATGTGAATGTGGTTGAAGGACTCAAGGCGAATCTCATTAGCATAAGTCAACTTTGTGACTCTGGACTTCAGGTACACTTCACTAAAAATGTATGTTTAGTCACTAACTCGTTGAATGAGTGTGTGTTGACAGGAAAGCGAACACCGAGTAACTGTTATACTTGGGATGATCAATCGAGGACAGAGTTATGGCATCAAAGTAGAGGGAAAGCTGACGAGATATCTGATATACTTCGAGAACCAGTCAGTGATCACTCAGATCTTGACTAGGTATATCTCACTTCATCTCAGAATTCTGAAGTGCTAGAAGAGGATATGAAAAGTGATCCTGAGCCCCCTGTTCGTCGAAACTACCTAGCTAATGATGTGAGTGGAAGTGTGAATGACTCACGACAGGTAAGGGACAAACCTCGATTAAATTATCAAGATATGGCTAGGTTTGTGTGCTTTATTTCGCAGGATGAATCTATTAAGATGCACGAGAGTTTGAATGATGAGTACTACCTCAAGATACTGCATGAAGATGGAAGAGTCAGTCGCAATAAACCAAGGTTAGTGGCTCAAGGATACACTCAAATGGAATGTATGAATTCGGTACCACTTTCTCAAAGAGCAAATTAGAGCGGTCTTTTGATTGAGTATGCACTCATTGAATGCCAATTAGCTGATATCTTTACGAAACCACTTGATATGAATGGGTTTGTGTGTTTTTTTTTTAAAAAAAAATTTTGGTTTAGGAGAAATCTGATTTTATCTCTAATGGTGTCTATTCGAAAGTGATTTGGTTCAATGATTGTGAAGGAGAGTCAGTGATACTTGACAGGTATGCCAAGTATACTTAAAAAAAAAATGACATGGATATCCCCTGATACTCCTCTGTTGACTTAGTACTCATGAATGACAAAAAAAAAAGAAAGGAAAAGAAGGAAAAGAAAAAAAAAGAGTGATGAAAAAGGAAAAAGAAAAAAAAAAGAAAAAGGAAATGAGGAAAAGTTGATATGAGTAGATTGGAAAATTGAATCACTCGGGTCTAAGTTGAACTACATGCAGTCTATACGATGGTCTAAGGGCAGATGATATTCATGCATCATACTCCGCTGTAATTTGAAACATTACAAGAGTATATCTCAGTGAGATAGTCTGGACTTAAATGGTGAAACTTGCATGCTCGGTTTCAACGTCCTAGAAGTTCAGGAGGAGAAAAGTCAGCGAAGTGTTCGGTGGAAAGTGAGGTATTTCTGACTTAACTGATCAAGTATTATGCTCTAATGATCTGCTAAATGATGTTATTAGATTTAAAATTTGAAAGATCCTAATTAATCTCGCATGTGTTTTCATTTGATTTTCAAAAAAAAAAACCGGATTTGAGTTGAGTGGTGAAGTAATGACTAAGTTATTGGACAATGTGGAGCTGAAAAATCAGAGACTTGCAATCAATTTTGTGATGAGAAAGGAGGTATCGCTCATATTATCCTACTGCGAGTGTTGTTTTTAAGTGTTGAACATAAAAATGGTGAGACAAAAGGTGTGCACTCCTAGATCCAAGAGGAAGATTCAAAATTCTGCAAGCCAGGTAAGTGTCTTAAATCTCTTCTCACTCAAGATTTTGGATTATTTCATACATGCACACAGGGGGAGAATGTGTAGATGATGATACAGAAGATGAAGATAATGAGTCGATAATGATTCCATCAATGGAACTGAGAACGTACAGGAATAAAAGAAAAAGACAAGGTCAAAGTGGTCCGAGTTACTTCAAATTTAAGTCAAACTTGTCTGAGTGAATGTGGAAAAATGTGTTGTTAAGTGAATCAAAGTCAAATATGTCTGAATCATGATGCGAATCCTGATGCGAAGTTGTGCTGAATTGAGAACATTTTTATGTGTGTGTGCATGATCTGAAATAACCAAAAAGGGGGAGATTGTTAGTGCAATTATTTGCACATGTGTTGTTTTGGTTGTTAAGTGGATAATGCAGGTTCAGGAGAGAAATCCGGCGAGATACAACTCGAAATATTTTGAGGTAAATCTGGAGAGTTGGAGTAAAAGTCAAAGACAGATTGAGATGGACTCAATGACAACCACTTGGAGAGATTTTAGGAAAAGCAATCTGAAGAGATATAGCCACGAATTTTGGATTTGACTTGAAGAGATGAAGATAGAATCAAAGCCAAGAAGATTTGAGGAGATTTGAGATAAAGATAAGATCTTGGAGATAAGGTCAAAGGCTGAAGAGATAGAGTCAAGCAAGAGATAAAGATGAGATCTTGGAGATAAAGATGAAATCAAAGAGAATCAAGGAGGAGTCTATCAAATCAATTCGTGGAGATCTAAGGCGAATTGGAGGAGCCTATATAAAGGAGAGAGCAAGTGCATATCAGTTCTCACAGAGAGAAAAACATATTTTTACTAAAAGAGAGTCTTGTTGTTGGTGAGTGATAACTCACTTTTGAGTGAGTGTGTGTCTGAGGCGGAGACCGATTGGGCAAATCTCTTAACCTCTGGTGAGTGTTTGGGCGTGGATCTGAGGGGGAGACCTAATGGAAAAATCTCTATTCCTTTGGTGAGCGTTTAAGTTTTGGTAAGGTTTTTGATCGGTAGAATTCATTGTGAGAGAGAGTTGAAACTCAGGGGGAGTTTCATTTGGTGTTGAGTAGCTCTAACAAAAAGTGAGTTGTACTTGACAGTTTTCTCAAGTGAATAGAACTGGTTAGTTTTTCCGTTTTACTCTTTGAGGGTCCAAACTTTTTCAAAAAGCATTAAGAACAATCCAATAAACTGAATGGAATAAACAAATCCACAAAGTTTGGAATTAAAAACCAAAGATCTCTACATAACAAATCTATGACCTACAACTATGGAACTACTCGCTAAACATAGAGATATCGGGATTCATATCAATACAACAAAACATCGTAAAATAGAAGTAAAGAAGAATGCTTAGTCGATTTCCCGGCTTCATAATCTCCGTCTTCTATTTCGATCTCTTGCCTCTTGATAATCTCCCTCTTTTGTGTGCTCTAGGATGTGTTTTCTATCAAAAGTATGAATGAATCCGACCTTAGAGGCTAACCCTAGTTATTTTCTCTTTCTTTTGGGAAAATTTGGAAGATTTCCGGAATTGAAGTGACCCGATCGTGTCTACACAAGTGACACGATCGTGTCACACCGTAGTTTTGACAGACTTCACGAATTTGCTCATAACTTCCTGCTTCGACATCGGATTTGGGTGATCTTAGCGTATGTGCGTAGGTATCGAAGAGAACTTCCAATGATGTATAGAATGCATGATTTCGACTTGTATAGTGAATGTTATTGTATTTGAAAGATCCGACGTTTTTTAGCTTCACGTTTTCTCCGAAACAACTCAAAATGTTCCCGGTTTGTCCGTGATGTTCCGCAATCCATATTTTCCACTTCTTTTAATCTATTTATGTACGGATTCCTATTTAAACACCAAATAACACAACCGACTAATATCAAAATTAAATATGTCATAGAATGTCTAAAATTATGTAAAACCGAGTGAAACGAGAAGTAAATCATTTGGTACGAAGTACTTTTGACACTGTTAGAAATACTCCAAGAATTAAAGTAGATCTACGAACTTCTCGGAAACAAAAAGAGTACAACGGCTTCTATTACAGGGAAGAGATATATTCGAAGAAATTGTTATTCTCTACGAAGGAAAAAGAACTCTAATTGGTATGTTAATTCGAAATTCAATCATTTTTATTCGTCTCATCTTTTGAGGAATCTTAGATAGATATCTAAGCAAATGACTTGTATTTGGATAGCATATGTTTAATATTATATGATAAGATGTCCGAAACTGTTATTAAATTCTAAAGTAGCACTAACAAGCGGTAATATTTTGGTGATGGAAAACAAGGGAAGATTATAACACAAGAATCAAGTTGAAGTTTCATGCGATAAAAATAAAATGCATGATTTATTTTATAAAAATTGATAAACTCAAATATTTTATTTTATTATTTTCTCTATGAAAAAATATATAAAATATAGACTTATCATGAAACTAAGCCTAGGTAAAACCCATAAAGAATGCCCAAATAATAATAAAAGCCCAATAAACATTAAGCAAAATTCGAAAGTCTCCACAGAGATATCTCACCGCTCTTTTTGATTAATTTTTAATTTATTCCGCAAAAAACTTCACCTCTTTTTCACCCCTTCGCCTTCCCGCTGTTTCTTCTCCCCTCACGCCTCTCCCTCTCCCC